AGACCTATCCTTTCCTTTTTATAGTTCTAGCCACCACCTCAGAGATTTGCATCTCAGTGGTAAATTACTATAATAGCCTTTTTGATGTTTTCCCAGATCCTAGTTTCTGTCTATATTAGGCCCTATATTCAACTGCTAGATTAATCCCCATCAAGTACTTGTCATCAAGGTTCACTGTATCAAATTTATATACCACACAAGTTAGCATTTCAACTCCTCCCCATCTTTACTTCTCCTTATCTCTTGTTACTTCCCTAAATGGGGCCAAACTAACTTAGTAGTAAGTCCTACTTAATGGTTTCTTTGTTCTCAATCTCATGTACACACTCTTCTTTCCTCCTGGTGTGCTATCGCTTCTCTCCTATTCTTTCCCTTCAGTGATTGACTCCATTTGACTCCTCTTTTTGTTATTTTTTATTTTTTTATTTTATTTATTTTTTTGAGAGAATCTCGCTCTGTCACCCAGGCTGGAGTGCAGTGGCGCAATCTCGGCTCACTGCAAGCTCCACCTCCCGGGTTCAAGCCATTCTCCTGCCTCAGCCTCCCAAGTAGCTGGGACTACAGGCATCCACCACCAATCCCGGCTAATTTTTTTTTTTTTTTTGTATTTTTAGTAGAGACAGGGTTTCACTGTGTTAGCCAGGATGATCTTGATCTCCTGACCTTGTGATCCACCTGCCTCAGCCTCCCAAAATGCTGGGATTACAGGCGTGAGCCACCACGCCCAGCCAACTCCTCTTTTTTTTAAAGACATATTTTGCATCTTTTCAATACTTGAATATTTAGTTTATCTAGTAATAAGGTCCTTGACACCCTGCTGCTGCTGCTGCTGTTATTTATGTCTTTGTTTTAGATATTCTGGTTTTGAAGGCGTTGTTCCATGTGGGAACTATTGTTTCTATTACCTTTGTCGCTCTCTTCTTTTCTTGCATATGGCAGAATCTTGAACATAATAGGTATCCTATAAATCTTCCTGGCTGACAGATCTATAAAAGTTTTGGGGGAGATGTGTAATGTCATTCTTAAATTTTAGAGATGCAAAATAATGCTTTTTATATAATTACCTGTTTTAATTTTTAATTTTTTTGTTTTATATCAGATTTGAAGATAGTATTCTCAACACAGTAAGGTGAAAGTTCCACAACATATTACTACAAATATTAGATCTAGTTTATTGAACATTAGCCACCTGATATATCAGATTCTCTCAAGAGAAAAGTTGGCTTCCTGAATGCTGACCAGGCATGCTTTTGAAGGTGCGTGATAGCCAAAGCCAGTACTCATCATTTGATATACTAAGATCCTTGAAAATTTAAAAGGGGCATAGTCACCAGCATCCAGAACAAAGGATAGTGACATGGTGATTTCCTTATTTTACTGTCTAAAGCTCTGCTTCTGTTGCTGACCTACTCTTAAAGAGAAGTATTTATTTTCAAAATTTTCCATGTCACTTAAAGTCAATATTGAGAGGAAAAGGAGTATCACTGGAGTGGAGCTTGGCTGAGAAAGGATACAAGGCAGAAGGCAACTTCCAAGCCTGCCTGCCCACCCACCTTCTTTCTTACCTCAGGAGCAGAGTTGACTTTGAGAACTAAATTCTGATTTTTTAAATCTTACCCAAATTCAGCCAGGCGCAGTGGGCTGGTGCCTGTAATCCCAGCACTTTGGGAGACCGAGGAGGGCAGATCATGAGGTCAGGAGATCGAGACCATCCTGGCCAACATGGTGAAACCCCGTTTCTACTAAAAACACAAAAATTAGCTGGACGTGGTGGTGCATGCCTGTAATCCCAGCTACTCGGGAGGCTGAGGCAGGAGAATCACTTGAACCAGGGAGTCAGAGGTTGCAATGAGCCGAGATCGTGCCACTGCACTCCAACCCGGTGACAGAGCAAGACTCCGTCTCAAAAAAAAAAAAAAAAAATCTTACCCAAATTCCTACCTAACAGGCCTTGGGAGTCACACCCTACAAACTGTGAAGTCTCATCAGAGGGGTTTTATTTCACCCCATATAATCTGGCCCGCTTTCCCACCTGACTCTGGCGTAACTTCACATAACAAATAAGAAGAGAGATAAAAATATTTTAACCACAAATATATTTCCTTGCCATATCTTGAAACTGCCCTGCAAGGTTGTCTCTTGTGGGAAAGGTCCACATTCTGTAGAGAATCTCCTTTCCACCCACTGTTTTTTCTTTCTTTCTTTTCAGACCCAGGAGATAATCGACTAAGGCACCCATTTAAGTCTGATAAGTGTAAACACCCAAAATCTGAAACAGATCTCAGTTAATTTAGAAAGTTTATTTTGCCAAGGTTCAGGACGTGTGTCCATGATATGGCCTTAGGAAGTCCTGACGACATGTGCCCAAGGTGGTCAGGGCACAGCCTAGTTTTGTACATTTTAGGGAGACATGATACATCAGTCAGTATGTGTAAGAAATACATTGGTTGGGTCTGGAAAGGCGGGATAACTTGAAACAAAGGCAGGAAGACTTAAAGTGGTGAAGGGGCTTCCAGGTCACAAATAGGTGAGAGAGGAGTGGTTGCATTCTTTTGAATTTCTGATTAGCCTTTCCAAAGGAGGCAATCAGATATGCATCTATCTCAGTGAGCAGATAGATGACTTTGAATAGAAATGGGAGGCAGATTTGCCAGGATCAATTCCCCACCTTGAAGGGGCCCATGATATTTTCCTTTCACGGAAACATTTTACAACCTACTCCCTCAGAAGTCTGCTCAGAGCTTCTTCTGCACAGTAAAACTTGGAAAAACTGGTTGCCACAACCCTTTATCTTAACCTAAACATTTCCTTTCTATTGATCCCAGGTCTTTAGATAAACTCAACCAATTGTCAACCAGAAAATTTTAAAATCTACCTATATGCTAGAAGCACCCCCCACCCCACCCCACCCACCCTTCAAATTATCCTCCCTTTCTGGACCAAACCAATGTATTTGATTGAAGTCTCATGCCTCTCTAAAATGTATAAAACCAAGCTGCACCCTAACCGCCTTGGGCACATGTTCTTAGGACCTCCTGAGGGCTGTGTCATGGGCCATGGTCACTCGTATTTAGCTCAGAATAAGTCTCTTGAAATGTTTTAGAGTTTGACTCTTCATCGACAACTTAAAGACAGTTCTGAGTTTATAGCATTTTATTAACTTTGTTAGTACAAGTTACTTTCTTGTTTTATTCTTTTAGTCCTTTATCCTCTACCCACATTCCGGTTCCCTTTCCTGTTCATATGCAGCTACTCTAATGTGTTTATGTCTTTATATCCACATTTGCTTGAAAGATATATAATATTGTTATGTGTGTGTTTTCAACCTACATAATGGTATTTGCTTATTCTTAACCTAATGCTATGTTTTTTAAAGATGTATTCATGTTGCTGTCGGTATGTCTAAAGTGTAGTTTCCAAAGCTATGTAGAATTCCATATTTGTATTCACTCCATTTTGATTTTCCATTCTTCCAGTTAAAGAAATGAGTGTTAACTTCAAACTCCCTACTACACTATTGTCACAGCAAATATTCTCACATAGGTCTTTGAAGTCTGTAATTCACATATATATAACCTTATTTGAGATTTTCTGTGGGATTTACTCACCAGAGTGGGATCATTGGATCACAGGGTGTGTACATACAGCCAGATCACTAGGCAGAATATCTGTATCACTTACCCACAGTGCATGAGGATTAATGCCTCTCCACATCTTTGTCAATTTTGTTCATCAAATCCAACAATTTTTTTAATTTCTATTTTTAGAGTGTTAGAGTGTTGTTTATGCTCTCTAGTATTTTCTGTTCTGTAATGTTATCTCCCAGTGGTTTTTCTTACAAGCCTGTTTATTTGGCCATTTGAAGATTCCTTTCTGGTAGTTGGTGTTAACTTTTGACTGCTCTTGATGCAGGAAAAAAAATGCAAGAAAATAGATGTAACACCTCCCCTTGCCTCTGCCCCTCGCCCCTCCCTCCAAGCCCTGCTCTTCCACTCACAAGATTGAGCCCCTTTTACACCCTGTTTGTGCTACATGAATCCTGTCTGCTTAGCTATAGCTGATTGGAAAGAGATGTATACCTACCCAAGCTGAGTACTTAAAGTCTTCCTCCAAGGAATTCGAAATTAGGATGCCTCAGCTAGGCTGTTGAAGAACATGCAGATTGAGGGGTGGGGGTGACCATCTTCCCCTGTGTGTACAAAGAAGCTAGAGAAATGGTCTGCAGAGAAGGAATAAAGAAGATGTGCACAGAAAAACAAAGAAAAAACCTTACAGTCCCATAGAGAGGGAGAGAGATTGAGCTAGAATGTGAAAGTACCTGTCCTGGATCCTGACGGCTTTCCAGTTTCTAGTTCTCTTTTCTCCTGAGACTGCGTTATATTTTCTTATCTGTATTAGTTAGGGGTGGCTAACTGCTGTAACAAATAGATTCCACAGTGTGTAATGACCCTAACACAACAGAAGTTGATTTCTCACTCATACAGACAGATCCAGATGACTCTAAGTGAGGTGGCAGCAGTGGAGGGCTCTGTACTACGTAGTTATTTAGGAGTCCAGGTTGATGGAGGTTTTGCCGTTTTCTACCCATGGCTTCCAAGGTCCCCCTGGGTGTCAGCATCCATGCTGCAGAAGAGTAATGATCATGGAGTTGAATAACAAGGGAGGTTTTATAGACCAGGCCTTGAGCTAGCACAGTTATTCACATTCCTTGGCTGGAACTCAGTTACATGGGCACAATTAACTGTATGGGAGTCTGAAAAATGTGGTCTAGCTAAGGACCCAGAAGGATGAGAAAATGGGTTTGGTGAACAACTAGAGATGATCACATCATATTTAGGATCTGTGTGATACCTCTATATCCTTTTAATTAAGTTCCCATTTTTTTTTCTTAAACTTAGTTTGAGTTGGCTTCTGTTATTTATACCTTAATGATTTGGTGTTTTCATGATAGCCATCTTTAAAGTAGTAGAAGAGATAAAAACTGATTATTATTTTCTCAGGAAAATTGGGCCGATTTCCTCCTATGATGCATCATCACCAGGTACCCACAGGTGGCCAGACTCCTGGGGCTCATTTCCAGAGGTCTCACCTTGCAGAGGCATTTGCAAAGGCCAAAGGATCAGGCGGAGGTGCTGGAGGAGGAGGTAGTGGAAGAGGCCTGATGGGGCAGATTATTCCAATCTACGGTTTTGGGATTTTTTTATATATACTGTACATTCTATTTAAGGTAAGTGGAATCATCCTAGTCATATTACATCAATGAAAATATAATATGGCAATAAAAATCAGTCTACATTAAAACTTTTTACAGTTCATAAAATTATTTCAAGTCCATCATCTCTTTAAATCTTGCCTCCTCTTCGTGAGGTACTTAGGATAGCCATTATTTCAGTTTCACATAAGAAATATTTACTCAGTGTTTAAGTGTTTTGCCCCAAAATTCACAACTAACGAGGCAGAACTAGGACTTGAACCTGGATCTTTTGGTTCTTAATCCAGTGAGTGATACAATTCAAAGCACTCCCCCGCCAAAAAAAAAAACAAAAAACAAACAAACAAACAAAAAATTGAACATCTTTACAGGCCGAAAAGGAATAAAGATTTTCTAAGAAGAACGTATTGGGATTGGCACAGTGATTTCCAAATAGCCATTTTTAAGGCCGAATAACGCACTTTATCCTCCTTTTTTCTCCACAGGAATATGAGATGCTGTTTTTAATATTATCTCCAATAATTCTCCTAAGACAGAACTGTCCATCCTGAAATTAAGCCTGATATTTCCTAGCTCTGGGGAGACATGGGTGTGGGTTCTTTAAAGCAGACGCTCAGTTAAGTTCCACCTCCAGGCAGGCCTTTGCAGGTCCTGGGCCCCTGTACTGTGAAGTAGAGGCAGAAGCTTCACTTTGCCCTCCTGTCTAGAGTAAGCTTCAATAAGATGAGTTCTTTCTTGCCCAGGAATTCTGCAGGCAGTCTGAGTTGAGTCTGTAAGAATGCCTGTAGGGTGCCACACATCCCTTTTAGATGAGCATGAGCAAGGAAGATGACCTGTAGGGAGATTTTTTTCCTTGTGTTAGAAATGCTTGTTCCCTGGTGCCGTAAAGAAATAGCACTTGAACATGAATTTAATTTCCTCAGCAAGGCCATTACTTTCTGCAGAAAGGGTACACTCATCAGCAGTTTTGCCAGGAGAGTACACCGAACAAAGGAGACGGTCATTTATAACCTCACACATCCACCTTACTGCTGTGCCCGGTTTCCATTGGTTGGAATGGGACCTCACATTCTGTATTTGTGCTGATTGGCTAGTGACTTAGAACTTTTTAAAAGAGGCAAAGGCAGAGGAAAACAAAGGAAGGAGGAAGTAACTTGTGGAATGCTGAAAAAGGTAAAAACACCTTCAAATAAGGACGAGGAACAGGCTATGACCTAATGCTTGCTTGGACCAGTATAAGCATGCCAGGGCAAATATTTAGGCTAAATTGTGGGAGCTAAGAACATAAAGTACCTTGATTTCTTTATTGCAACTAGCAGATATCTAAGCATGTTAGCACAAGTCCTTGAATAAATTTTGCTTCTAAGAGAAGTTACTATTCCTAATTAGATGGGGAGGAAAGTCTCTTTGAAGAGGAACCTCTACTTTACTGTTTACACTTGTGCCTTGATAATTTTTTACTTGGAAACCTTCTCATCTTTTGGTGTGTGTGTTTTTTTTTTGTTTTTTTGTTTTTGTTTTGTTTTGTTTTTGAGATATTTCTCTAGTGTTGCTATTTGATTTCATTTCTGACTTCATTTTTGTTTCCTAACCTTTTTTTTTTTTTACTTGATATGAGGGTTTCCGTGACTTTGAGGTTCTGAGCTGCTGTTAATGTGCTATACCTCCTTCAATTCTCAGCTCTCAAAGGGGAAAACAACTGCAGAGGATGGTGGGAAATGCTCTACTGCCACACCTGGAAACACCCACAGGAAAATTAGTAAGTGCCCCTTCTCAGTATATTCACAGGTATTATTGAGTCAAACAGTTTTATAGCCACAGGGACAGTCTGTGGGTATGTCTTAAAAGCATTTCTCAAAAGTTGCTCCAAATTAATCTGATGCCATTTTTGCCTTAGTTCTGGGAATTCTCAAAAGTTTTTATATTGATGTTGGGGTTTTAAGGGAGGGATAGCTACAAAAAGTACAGAACCATCTGTTCACTTTTTTATGTATTAGCAAATTAATATTTCACATTTGGAATGAATTACTTCTCATTTTCAGACTTCAGAATATGGGTAGCAGAGAGGAAAATGGAGGCAGAGAAATCATATCATTGCCAAAATCAGTTTTTAGATCTAGGGAAAGAGTTTAACACTTCTGACTCTTGAAACATGGCCATCAGATACTTATTACACAACTAGAATATTCTGTGTTCTCTGGGGAAATTAAATTTGTACAACATGGCTCTTTCCTCAAAGAATCTAGAGACTAGAATGTATGTCAGGAAAATAACCTATGAAAAATTTTCCACACACAAAAAAGAGACTTGGCAAAAGCATTGCAGGAAATCATATTTATCTGGGCTGTAACTGCTTTTTGAATTTACTTCTGGACTTTCTATGAAACTAAATATCCCAATCACACTTTGCATCCTTTTTGGAAATCTTAAATATTCACAGAATCCTTTAATAAAACTGCTGTGTTCTTCAATGAGATAGTAATGGGAAGTGCAACAGTACAATAGTTTTTTAAAAATTTGTGGTCTCTTTAACAGGTTTAGGGAGTTGTCTGTGATGGTTCTTAGACTGTTGCTTATTTTTCAGCCAGTTTTGAGCTTGCTCAACTGCAAGAAAAACTGAAAGAGACAGAAGCAGCCATGGAAAAATTAATCAACAGAGTGGGACCTAATGGTGAGAGGTAGGTTTTCATGTAACAGGACTCAGACTATTCTCATTTAGAAAATCAATTCAGGCTGGGAGCGGTGGCTGAGGCCTGGAATCCCACTTCGGGAGGCCGAGGTGGGTGGATCATCTGAGGTCAGGAGTTTGAGACCATCTTGACCAACATGATGAAATCGTTTCTACTGAAAATACAAAATTAGCCAGGCATGGTGGTGCACACCTGTAATCCCAGCTACTTGGGAGGCTGAGGCAGGACAATTGCTTGAACCTGGGAGGCAGAGGTTGCAGTGAACCGAGATTGTGCCCTTGCACTCCAGCCTGGGCAACAAGAGCGAAATTCTGTCTCAAAAAAAGAAAAGAAAATTCAAAATTATGCTTTTTTTTGATAAATAGACCACTTATTTTCATTTTATGTACTGTCAGTTTTTAAATTGTGAATGTGTCATTTATGTATTCTTTATCATTTAACATTTTTCATTCACATACTGTCAAGCAATCTTAGTTTTCAAAAGTTTAGTGTTGTGCAAATTATTGTGAAAGTGAATAAATTTGTGAGTAACTCCTATGGGGTGAAATAACTAGGATTTAAGAAAGAAACTTTCCTAGCTGTCTAAAATAGGTATAATTTTAAGTAAAACCAGGTTATTGAACATGATGCTTTCTACTTGAGACAAAATGAGAGAAGAGAGCAAGTGTGATCACATTAGGCACTCATGTTTCTGTCAACTGTGCCAGCATAGAATTAGACATGTAAATTAGATGTTAAGAGCCAAACTAGCCATTTAGAATGTCCCAAAGGGAAGATACTCCTCTTGCTACTAGGCTGGCTGAGGATCTGAAAAGGTGGCTTCAGGAGGTTGATAGAAGTGGCCAACAACCAAGAAAACGTGGATGTAGAAAGGCCAGGAAAAAAAACCAGAATGTAAGATTGAGGACAAAGAGGGGTTCAGTTTCAGCTAGGTCTTCTGGCAAGGATGGAAGGAGAACGTTAGGGTGAGTGGCAGAATCCCATGCAGAAGGAAGTGTTGAAATGTCCCTCCTGCATCTTTGTGGGCACACTGTGTACTTTTTGCCCCAAGAAATTGTTGCTCTACCTTAGCCTGTATTTGCCATCCTTTATAGTGGTAGTACCCTGTGCCCTTTCTGTGTTCACTGGCTTCATTCAGCCTTGCCTCTGTTTGGCTGGATACAAGAGAGTGGGTATCCTCAGATTGCAGCCTCCTGACGTGGCATTTCCCTGCAACATCTGCAGTGCTGTTGAAATGACATTTGTGAAGATGAACCTTGCCTGTGTGGGCCCAGGAGCCTTGACTTTCTTTTTATCTGGAAAGCAGAGTTACTATCTGGAATGTTCCCCAAAGTTGTATAGATACATGAATATATCTTTGTGAGTGTATAATAATAATTGATATTTATTGAACACTTACTAAGGACCACACTCTGAACTAAATGCTTTGTGTACATTATCTAACATATGACTATTTGTATGAGTGTGACTAAACCAATTTGTGCAATTATACTTTTCTGGCCTTTTCTGCCCTAACCCTGTAGCTGCCACCTACAGTCTGGGTGGAGAACTACTCAGGCTATTATAGACCGTTAGGTCTGAAAAAATATCTGTACACTCACCTGGGCCATTGGAAACCCCAGGCCACACCTAAGGGTCTTGAAAACCGTAGATGAATACCTGTGGGCAGGGCCTCTCACTTGGGAGACCCAACTCCTGGAGCTTGGGGTAAGAGACCACGTGAAGATATTTTCTCATTATTATTTATTGTTGAGTAACAGACTCCCTTAACTCAAATTACTCTACCATTCAACCCATGTACATGATCTATCTATAGCCCAAGCCAGAGATGCAATATTATAACCTCTAACTACTGTCTGTCCTCTTCATGCCAGATTTACATCTCCTTGTTGTACTACATCTGGAGTTGTACTGTCTCATTTCAGGGGCCACAGGTCCTAGCCCAAAATGTTTACTTTTTGTAAGATGCTGAGGTGTGGACTCCTTGGGAACATATTGATTGAAGCCTGCAGCATGGCAAAGATTGTGTAAAACTCTTTCCACCCTGCCTCTTAGGAACTGGGGAGCAGCTGTCTTCCCACTAGAGAGAGCATGGCTCCTGGCTCTTTACCAAATCTCTCATTTTTTAGTTCTAAGATGTGATTTTTCTCTCTGACACTCCTGAATCCAACATCTTTTATCCTTACAGGTAGGCCCTATGGGACTTATGCCCTAAAAACTGTAAGGGCTAAGCAGCCCATATGTTTGTATGTTTTCTGTTGGTATAACTGAATGCCACAGACTGTGTAATTTATAAAGAATGGAGGTTTATTTAGCTCACGGTTCTGGAGGCTGTGAAGTCCAAGTTTTATAGGAGGTATCTGGTGAGGATCTTCTTGCTGCATCATCGTATGATGGAAAGGCAGAAGGGCAAGCAAGCACATGCAAAAGAGGGAGGCACCAGAGGCCAGCCCCACTTTACAACAGCCCATCTTGGGATAACTAACCCACTGAGATAATGGCATTAATCTGTTCATGAGGGCTCTGCTCTCATGTCCTAATCACTTCATGAAGGCCCCACCTCTTAATACTGTTGCAATGGCAGTTAAGTTTCAACATGAGTATAGGAGGAGACAAATATTCAAACCGTAGCACCATGTTTCTACATGTTTTCCCTTTTATACTTACAGTCTGTGTCCTTTAACCTCAGTTTCTGTGGCATTTGTTCTTTTACAAGTCTGTGCTCCTATGATTATTAGAAAAGCCCAAAATATTCCAGTATTTGTTCTGTCAGATCAAAATTGTATCACATCTCTGGGTTTCTGGGGGTAAAGCAGAAGACACATTCATTTACAGCCTGTTAAGTCCTTTTATATAATATTCCATAACTGCAGGATATTGGCTTGAAATTTGAAAACTCTGCAGTTTCTGAAACTTTCTGAAACTTTACATTAATGCTTAAGTAAGAACAGAAATATGGGGAAAGTTTTTGATATTATCTAATAAAACTTCAGAAAGCTTTTACTTGTGAGGGATGTAGGTCTGTACACGTATTTGAATAATGAAACATCCTAGAATGTCAGTCTTGTGCCATGTTTTGTCTGATATTAAGCACAGTGTTCATCTCAAGGGCACAAAGAGTAAGGAAAGGATCTAGGAATCAGAAGTGAGGTGTCCTGATTTCTGTCCTTATGACTTCGGTCCTCTCTTCCCCCACAACACACACTTATTTTGACTCTGAAGGCTTTTGAGGAGAAATGTCACGATTTGCTGTGCTTTAGAAAAATAACTCTTATAGTAATACATAGAGTGACTACATGCTAGAAGGTTATTGAAAAGGTTTCAACAAATGGTAAGAAATAGGCCAGTGAGAGTGGAAAAGTGGGGATAAATTAAGGGGACCTAATGGAAGAAAAAAAAATCACAGGCTGTATTCCTTCCTGGAATAGCATGCCCAGTTGTGACAATTTACCTGCTAGAAGCATGGTATGGTCAAGCAGACCATGAAAAAAGCAGGGACGGTGCACCCTCTGGCAGCAAAGTGCCCTGGTGGGCATGTTGAGTACGTGCGTTGGGCTACAGATTTTTGCCATGAATTCCTGGAATGTAAACTCTTTGAGGCTAGACTTAGCCTATTTTTTTCAGTGTGTTTGTCTAGTAGGTACTAAGTAAATACTTAGTGAATTAGAATAACTATTCTTTTTTTTTTTAATTTTTTTTTTATTTTTATTTTTTTTGAGACAGAGTCTCTCTTTGTCACCCAGGCTGCAGTGCTGTGGTGCGATCTCAGGTCACTGCAACCTCCATCTCCCAGGTTCAAGTGATTCTCCTGCTTCAGCCTCTGAAGTAGCTGGGACTACAGGCACATACCACCACACCTGGCTAATTTTTGTATTTTTAGTAGAGGCAAGGTTGTTCACCATTTTGGCCAGGCTCAACTCGAATTCCTGATCTCAGGTGATCTGCCCACCTTGGACTCCCAAAATGCTGGGATTACAGTTGTGAGCCACCGTTCCTGGCCCCTATTCACTTTTGATAAAAGCATTTGTACGCTTTTGTGGTAGAAGAGAAAATCATGACCATTCTCTGTTGAGGTCCTTTACTTCAGTTCCTGACCTCTATATACAGAGCCCACTGGACATATCTCATAGATACCTACCTTTATCCTCCTCATATGATAAATAATCTATTGAATGAATGAATGTCCAAGATGGAATTCATCATCTATCCCCCAAGTGAACCTACTCTACCTTTAATTTCCGTCTCAGCAAATGGCTTTACCATCCACTTGGTTGCCCAAAGCAGAAATTAGATGTTATCCTTGATTCACCTTTTATTTTACTTCCCATATCTCATTAATCACCATGTCTTGTCATTTCTATTTAATTAATAAGCCTGTCTCCCTGCAAAAGACTGTAGGCTCTGTGAGGTCAGGGATTGTCCTTCTTAGCTATAGAGCTTAGCACAGGCACATAAAAGGCTCCAAAAAATATTAGATGAAGTAGAAGAAAGAATGAGTGAGTGAGTGCATGAGTGAGTGAATGAATACCTGTTTTTGACATAGGTCATAACTATCTCATGTGGTTTCTCTAATGTTGCCACCTTTCAGTTTTCTTTCTGTTTTCCAAACAGATGGATTATCTCTTTTGTTTTAATCCTTCAGCAGGTCTCTTTTGATTTTGAAAAAGCATAGAATCTTTAACATAGCTTACATGGTCCTGAGTGACCTGGCCTTTTGTACCTCTCTTGCTTTATCTTTCTTCGTCACTCTCTCTGTGGTCCAGCCACACCGACCACTTGCTGTTCCTCTAAAATACCCGTATGTTTTTGCCTCTGGACTTGGCATATACTTTTTCGTATGCCTAGCTCCTCTCTCCCCCGACAACACATGCTTATTTTGACTCTGAAGGCTTTTGAGGAGAAATATCACGATTTGCTATGCTTTAGAAAAATAACTCTTACAGTAATATATAGAGTGACTGTATGCTGGAACATTATTGAAAAGGTTTCAGCAAATGGTAATAAATAGACCAGTGAGAGTGGAAAAGTGGGGCCAAGTTAAGGGCACCTAATGGAGGAAAAAAAATCACAGGCTGTATCAGTTTTCTTGGTTGCAAGCAGCCAACTCTGGCTAGCAAAAAGTCTGAAGTACGAGGAGGCAGAATTTATTGGAAGAATGTGGGGTAGCTCATAATGTCAAAGGAACAACTGAACATCCAGGTTTCAGGAAGGGTGATAACCAGAGCAGCTTTGGGCGTTTAGGGAGTAGGAACAAAGGGACAGTCTCCTCATGGACTGTTGCCAGGATGAATTTAATGTCAAAGTATTCAGTTCAGGCTTCACTGTGTTCAAGGTCCAAAAGTAAAGTTAGCTCAACTTGGGTCCTATATCTATCCCTGAATCAATCCCTGCAGCCAAGGGGATGGAATGTGATGATTAGCTGTGGGTCACATGGCCACCCTTGAAGGAGAGGTGGGGGATGGATGGCTCACGCTAACCTTTGCACTGTGAATGGAAGATGAGTTTGTTCCCCAAAAGAAAACTACTAACCAGATAAGAGCAATGAAGAAGAATAAATAAATAGAGATGCATTGGAGATTTACAGCCAAACTGGAAGGAAGATTATGGCATTAACCAAGATAATATACAAAAGAAGGGAAAGTACATAAGGCTTTGGAGTTGAGATCGTAAGTTCAGCACTGAGTATGTCTGAGATGCCATCAGAACATCCATGTGTAATATGAAACAGCAATACGAAATTTGGTTCTTGAGATCAGAGCAAAGGGCTCAGGTTTGGAAGTCATTGGCTGGGAGTGAGAGATGGAGAAAATCTCCATGGAGAAAGGTAAGATCACCAAATATTTGAGGCATATCAGACTCTGCTGCAGTATCCTGAAATCTTTTACTGATCTGAGTTCTGTTCTAACCATGAATGGTGTTATTAACATCTGTTTAATTCCCTGTGCTTAACTCTTGCATTTGGAACTTGATGATTCTGCTGGGCTTACAGAATTCAAAATTCTAGTGAGGCTATTTCCCAACTGTGCCCTTTTATTTTTCTATCATCTTAGAATCTTCCATACTCAGCCTCTTCTGGTCTTCCTGTTCATGGAGTTGCTCACGATTCTGAGCCAACTGGGACCTGGTTTCAGGAGGTGAATTTAAGATTAACTTTAACATAGTCGCAAGGCCTCCAAGTGGAAATGCCCAGGAAATTACTGGAGTTGTGAGATGGGAATTTGTGTGAAAAGTCAGGATTAATAGTAGCATTAGGACATCTTTTCTGTAGAGGTGATGGTCTAATCTGTAATACTGGGTCAACTTCCTGAGGGCATGATTATAAGAATGGAGAAATGAGAGTCCTAAGATTGAGTCTTGGGAAAATTGTTTTGGGAGGTGGGTGGAAGAAAGTGAGCCAGGGTCATAGATAAAAGGAATGGTTAAAGAAGTGGGAGGAATACAAATGTCTCAATAGCTAAGGGAGGAGGAGGTTTTAAGCAGAGGATGGTCTATAGTACAGAGAAGTCAAGAAGAATGAAATGTGAGAAAAAGACCCTTGGACTTAGTAAAGTGAAAATCACTTAGGAGTAAAAGTTTTTGCAACTTTTGGTAAAATGATAGAATGGAATCCAGAATTCAGGGAGGTGGAAGAAAATAATGGATGGTGAGGAAATGGGGATCAATCGAACTAACACATAATTATTGAGCTCTTAATAGTGATCATGGCATTGTGCCTATACTGTTGTCAACTTAATTATTACTGCCCTCTGGGAGTATCAAACCGAGTTGAGATGATAAGGAATCCATGAAAATATTCATTGCAATAAATTCAGAAGATATCATAAAGTAGACCATGATTAATGCATAATGCCAGATATGGACAATAAAGGTATACTTGTTTAGAGTGAAATGAGGATGCTTTGGTTTGGAGTTCTCTGGGAAAGCTCTTGTCTGTTCTGCTTCCTCTAGTCTACCCATCCTCTTTTAGGATAAGGGCTTCTGATTTCCCATGACTTAGGAAATAGAATTAAGACTGTTTCGTTCATTGAAGATCAGAATGCCCTGTGTACAGTCTGGAAAAGTAACATGTGCCACCTGAAGAGAAAAGAGTTTGTGATAGGCAGGTTAGCTCTTCTAGTCAGCCCCAGAAGCCTCACAGAAAGTGGGTTATTTTAACAGTAAGAAATAGGGGTTATGTGGGACAGATGAGCAGTTTTGGAGAGTCAGGACTCCTGTACTGATGGGAAGAATAGAGCTGTCAGAGGCCCTGTAAGTATAGGATTTTAGCTGAATGTGGAACAGACAGGCATCTTTAGTAGTTCATGGCTTTGAAGCTACTTGGTGTGGAAGAAGTGGAACTCATGGTGTTTTCGTTTTTCCTTTTACTGAGGTCTCTGGTAATGTTGGCTCTTCATTTTCCTCAGTTACTATCTTCATGTTGAAAGGAGAAATACTCTTTTCATTTTCCTTATTAGTCATTAAGGCTAAAGTTAGACTGAGCATAGAAATGAGTGCAGGCTCAGAACTGGCTGTTAGAAAAATAGATGACCGTCTTCATAGGCTAGTACAGAGTACATCATTTTTCCTTTGTAAGTGTTGTATTAACTTGTGTTTGGGTTTTAAGAGGAGAATAAGTAGCCTCCATTAAATCCTGCTGCTAGATAAAACTGGTCTCAAAGCAGATAGTTATCAGTCTTCTAAGTAGGACCTTGTTTGCCTAACAGTGTGATGCAGTGCTTTCCTCTAAAAGAAAATAATCATACTGTTATCCTTGAGTCTCATGTTATTTTTGCAGATATTTGCCAGAGCCACACAACTAAGTTGGGATTCAAACCAGGTTTTCCAAAATGTGGAACTTGAGCACTGTGCTTCAAGAATTGCACAGAATGTGATCAGAAGCCTGGATGGTTTTAGTTATAGTGCTTCCATTAAGTGGCAGTATGAATATAAACAATATTTCTCCTCTGTGGACCCCAGTTTCCCCAATTTCTCTAGTCTAGATGATTGACTTTTCAAAATTACCCACCTCTGAAATTTTAGAATCTATCCTTACACCTGCACAAGTAAATTAAGCCTGGTGATTTCTAGTAGCATAAATTTTCCTGGTTGACGCTAATGGCTTAGAACATTTTCCTTTGATGACCTTGCTTCAGAGAAAAGTGGCTTGTAGTAAATGGAGTAATGTGAGTAACAGTGAAATTGTTAGGCGATTGAGAATCAGGGCATTGAGATACACTGAAAAAACACTGAACTGAAAGCTGAGACATCTGGGGTCTGGTCCTAGTATTGACATTAACTAATTTTGGGACCTTGGGCAATCACTTGATCTATTCTGGGCTTTAGTTTTCCCATTTATAAAATCAAAACATTGGACTAACATCTCTAGTTCCCAGCTATGCAGTTGGAGGATCAATTCCCAGAATAATAATCTGCTGCAATTGCACTTTCTATTCCAGTATCCAGACAGACCATAGTGATGTTTTATGTCTATTGCCTAGGAGTATTTACCACTAAATGGTTGGATTGTCTGATATTTCTAAGCAGAGCACAGACTGTGACTTCTGACCAAGAGAAACGGTTGCTACATCAGCTCCGAGAAATCACCAGGGTCATGAAAGAAGGAAAATTCATTGACAGATTTTCTCCAGAGAAAGAAGCTGAGGAGGCTCCTTACATGGAGGACTGGGAAGGTAAACAGCATCTTTTAATTTTTTTATTAGCTCTCAGCCCAGAAAAGAGATCGTACAGATTTTCTAAAAATCAGCTTCATTATTGAGGTATAATATATAAACAGGAATATTAACCAGTTTTAAATGTACAGTTGGATGAGTTTTGACAAATGTATAGAGTTTGTATAATCACACCATAATTTTGATAAAGAACATTTCCATCACCCCAGAAAGCTCCCCCTTCTTTGTAGGTAATGCCCTTCTCCTGCCCCTGGCAACAACTGAAGTGCTTTCTGTACGTTTAATTTTGCCTTTTCTGTGTAAGTGGATTATACTGCATATGCTCATTGGCTTCTTTGATTTAGCATAATACTTTTGACATTCATGTTTGTTATTGAGTATATCCATACTTTTTCTCTTGCTGAGTAGTAGTCAGTTACATGCTTATACCATAATTTGTCCATTCACCAGTTGAGGAACGTTTGGGTTATTCCTACCTTTGCACTCTTATGACTCAAGCAGCTATAAACTTCTGCATATGAGTCTTTGTTTGAACATATATTTGTATTTTTTTGGGGGTCTATACCTAGGAGTGAGATTTCTGGGTTTAAGGTAATTGTATATTTAACTTTTTTTGTTGTTGTTTTTCAAGACAGTCTCACTTTGTCACCCAGGCTGGAACGCAGCAGAGCAATCTCAGCTTGCTGCAACCTCTGCCTCCTGGGTTCAAGCAATTCTCCTGCCTCAGCCTCCCAAGTAGCTGGGATTACAGGCGCCCGGCACCACGCCTGGCTAATTTTTGTATTTTTAGTAGAGACAGGGTTTCATCATGTTGGCCAGGCTGGTCTCGAACTCCTGACCTCAAGTGACCCACCTGCATCAGCCCCTCAAAGTGCTGAGATTACAGGCATGGGCCACCATGCCTGACCACATGTTTAACTTTATTAGAAACTGTCAACCTGCTTTCCTAAGTAGCTCTTCTTTTTCCCTTCCCACCAGCAGTGTATGGCAATTGAAGTTACTCCACATCCTTGGTAACACTTGGTCTTGTCAGTCTTTTTAATTTTATCTATTCTAGTGAGTATAAAGTGATATCTTAATTGTGACTTTAATTTACCTTTCTCCAGTGACTAATGATGATGAACATTTTTTCATGTGCTTATTTGCCATCTGCATATCGTGACCGCACTGCTTCGGCCTCCCAAAGTGCTGGGTAACACGCATAAGCCATGCCAGGCCCCATTTTTTTATGTTCGTTTAAGAAATATTTTGCCCTAACCCCAAAGGTTTTGCGCTTAACCTCTCACCATAGTTTGAGTCTAGAAATTTTTACCGTTTTAGCTTTTACATTTAGGCCGTCTGGTCCGCTCTATTCTGGAGTTAACCTTTATAGAATGGACCTGAGGTAATCAGGACTGAGGGGTTATTTTTTTCCCATATCCAAATACCCCAAAATTGTCAGCTCTTTTGTTACATTAATTACTTGACATTTGCTTGAAAACAACAACCAGTTGACTGTGCATGTGCTTTCTGTTCTGGGCTCTAATTTCTGTTCCATTGATCTGTATTGGGCTTTATTACTTGTC